CAGATGGTTAGGTTAATAGCTTGTTTAGAGAACCTTTTCATGATATGCTAATTTTTTGGGACAGGCATTTTGGGTTTTCATGAGCTGTATGCCATAATCATCAGTATTAAAACAATTAAAGACCTGAAATATTTCAGTTGGTGTGCAATGAATCTGAAATATATGAAAGTTTCATTTTTATCATTACATTATGGAAAATAATGACCTTTATCACAATATGCTTATTTTTTGAGAAGGACCTGTATATTAGGAGTGTAATAGTACGCCTAAGTCATGGTTTGGTATGTAACTCAGTACGAGTGTCCAGTGCAACAGGAAAAATAACTAAAAGCTCATTTCTATTGTTTTGGGTTTTTTTTTTTTACAGATAATTCTGCCAGATGCAAAGCATTTTTTAAAACAAGATCAAAGGAAAAAAAAATTATTATTATTATTTTTTTTTTACAATACCTACATTTGTAAGCTGGTTTTGTCAATTTCAGGTTACAAATATAACTATTGTAGTCTTGAACCATGCATTAATTTTTGCTAATGGAATTTGCTAATGCAAGACCACCATAGGGCCTTGACACACACCTAATCCTATGCAACAGTTTAGTTAACTTTGTCTGTAAACAAAGTGATTTTTCTTACAGGTTCAGAAAACTCTAAGGTCACAACTTCCTTGTTGTGAGAAACAATGAAAGCTTTTGTCAGAGGAAGATTTCTGATAAAACTCATGTATTTAGATTCTCTATACGCAACTTGAAACCAGTTAAAAACATAAAAAACAAACTTGAATATAATTTTATCCCACTACAGCACTAAACTGTTATGCAATTCAAGTTTCAAGTTTTATGAACAAGATGATGCGACAAGTAGATCGCTGACTCGTCAACTGCTACAAATATCTGCATCCCAAAAGATTCTTTGTGTAACATCAAATTCACTGGAAAATATGAAAACATTTTTGCCATTTCGCAAGTTATTCATCTGATTGTTTTCATGTTTCTGCACATCGAATGTCCTTCCTCAGCAGCATTAACTCTCCTGCTATAGATCAGAGTCTGGCATGGAATAAGACTGCCCGTCACAGCTATAGAAAGAAAGAAAGTGCTTTGTGTTGTCATCACTGTATGTTTCTATACAATGACCAAATGAGTTCTCTACATTTAACCCATCACACATGAGATACACCCAGGTGGAGCAGTGGGCAGCTATGTATGCGTCCAGGGATCAATTAAGTGTCTTGCTCAGGGACTTGCTATAAAGCCCGAGGCTGCAGTCAAACATTTACAACGTGGTAAAGGCCTCAGTCCTGATGGCTTCCCAACCTAATTCTAAAAAGATATTTTGAAAGCAGCTGGCCCCATTCCTACTATAGATGTTTGTTCTTTTTTATCTTTATTGCAGGCATGCTTTCCCAAACCTTAAACCATATTTTGACATTAACAGGGTTTGGAGTCATTTAAGTAGGTTTTGTTGAGTTGTGGCAGAAATGAAGATGTTGAGGTTCTCCTTAGGAGTGACAAGAATGGAGAAAATTAGGAATGAGATCATCAGAGGTCCATCACAGGTTGAAGAACTGGGAGATAAAGTCAGGAAGGATACACTGAGATGGTTTGAACATGTCCAGAGGAGGGACAGTGGTTTGGATATGTCCAGAGGTGGGACAGTGGTTTGGACATGTCCAGCAGAGGGACAGTGGTTTGGACATGTCCAGAGGCAAGACAGTGGTTTGGACTTGTCCAGAGGAGGGACATTGGTATGGACTTGGCCAGAGGAGGGACAGTGGTTTGGACATGTCCAGAGGTGGGACATTGGTTTGGACTTGTCCAGAAGAGGGACAGTGGTACGGACTTGGCCAGAGGAGGGACAGTAGTTTGGACATGTCCAGAGGTGGGACAGTGGTTTGGACATGTCCAGCAGAGGGACAGTGGTTTGGACACATCCAGCAGAGGGACAGTGGTTTGGACAGGTCCAGAGGAGGGACAGTGGTTTGGACATGTCCAGAGGAGGGACAGTGGTTTGGACATGTCCAGAGGAGGGACAGTGGGTATATTGGTAGAAGGATGATAGAAATGCAGCTGCCAGGAAAAAAACAAAGAGGAGATATATGGATGCAGTTAGAGAGGACATGGAGGAAGTTGGAGTGAGGACAGAGGATGCAGAGGACAGGGTGAGGACAGAGTGAGGACATAGGATGCAGAGGACAGAGGATGCAAAAAACAGAGTGAGGACAAAGGAAGCAGAGGACAGAGTGATGACATAGGATGCAGAGGACAGAGTGAGAACAAAGTGAGAACAGACTGAGGTCAGACGATGCAGAGGACAGAGTGAGGTTAGACAATGCAGAGGACAGAGTGAGGTCTGACAATGCAGAGGACAGAGTGAGGACAGATGATGCAGAGGACACAGTGAGGACAGACGATGCAGAGGATAGAGTGAGGACTGATGATGCAGAGGACAGAGTGAGGACAGAGTGAGGACAGACGATGCAGAGGACAGAGCGAGGACAGACGATGCAGAGGACAGAGCAAGGACAGAGTGAGGACAGACGATACAGAGGACAGAGAGCTATTGTGACCCCAGAAGAGGGAACAGCTGAAAGAAGAAGATGAAGATGTTATGATGATCTTATTTTCCCAACAGATGATGATAAGAGATGATAAGAGAAATCCAATCCAATCCTTTTTGGATTTTTCTACCTGGATTATTGAGCATGCATCAGGGTATGATAAAAGTAAAGGAGCAAAATGATCAGATGTGAATCTGTACACAGTAATTACAGTAAAACTCACAGCAGCTCTCTGTTCAATCATGTGAATATAACACAACATATAATGTACAGCACATTATTCAAAAAAAACATTAGGTTATACTTTCTATTTTGAATCATTTAACTATATTTTTTCAAAGTTTGAAAATTTATATTCAGCAGGTGTCATCTCCAGAGCATGTCTGCAGAGGCTTTCTGTTTCTTCTTGAGTCGTTAAAATTATATGTGTGTAATAAATGTGTGTAGGCTGACGCTGCACATGCACTCTTATTACTCTTAGTCTTTAACAATGTCTACTTGACAACATAGACAAATTAGGCTTCTACCATCCGTTATCTGATTTCTTTTGTTTAGTTTACATTTTTCAGATTTTTGACAAACATCTGATTTTTAAAAAAAAAAAAAATTTATTTTACTAACACTGACTGATCGTTTTAAACTGGGTTTTCTGGCCTTCCCTCTGCAATGATTCCCATTAGCTTAGAAGTTTTTTAATTCATCAATCTGTAAGTTAAATGCCCTGCACAAAACTCCTCAAAGTTTGGCCATGAGGGGGCTATAAAAACGCAACAACCAGATTTGATGAACAGATATTTTGAGCGCTTCAAAACTTGAAGAGAATGATGTGGCATAATTTGAGATCTTTGGGACACAAATACACCTCTGTGGAAAACTAACCTTCAGACTCTATTAGGATTGTGGAGACACAAATAGGCATCAAGATTGTGACTCATCAGCTCACAGCTTGTGGGTCAGCAGGTGTGCTGGGCTTTGGGGTACAAAGTCAGGGTGGATATGTGTTGGGGAACTTGGAATTCCTAAAAACAATAGAGAAAATGAATTTCCTGCAAAAATGCAGTGTGAATGCTTATTGCTGAAGAACTTGCTAAAAACATGCTGAAATGTAGCTAAAATGAAAGAACAAGAGCTGAAAAGTACCGTATTTTTCAGACTATAAGGCGCACTTTAAATTTAAATTCCTTTAAATTTTCTTTAAAATCAACAGTGAGCCTTATAATCTGGTGCGCCTTAATAGTCTGAAAAGTACAGTAACTGAAAAGGCAGAAAGAAGAATAAATGGTAAATGGTAAACGGACTGTACATATACAGCGCCTTTCTATCTTATTTCAAGATACTCAAAGCGCTTTACACTACAATCTGTGTCCTCATTTACCCATTCATACAGCACTCTACTAGATCTCTACAAAGCTAATTGAACAAATCATTCTAAATAGACTAAATAGACTAAACTACTAAAGATTAAACTACCAGAAGGGAGTGGAAGGAGACGAAATTAGCTAAAAAATGTAGAATTATCTGAAAAAGTTAAATTTAGCAGAAAAACAGCTAAACAGTAGCTGAAATAGTAGAAAGGGCTGAAACTAGCCAAAAAAAGCTGAAAAGAGCATAAAAATTAGCATAAAGAAGTTAATTAGACTGAAGTAGCAGAACTTACCACAAAAAACTTCAATTTATCTGAAAAGAGCTGAAATTAGCTAAAAATGCTAAAAAGGTAACTGAACGGCTAGAACAAGCTTAAATTAGCAGAAGAACGCATGCTTGCTCAATTAGACTGAAAGAAGCAGAAATGAGCACAAAAAAGTGGAAATTATCTGAAAAAAGCTGAAATTAGCACAAAAAACCCAGCTAAATAGTAGCTGAAATAGAAGAAAAAGCTGAAACTTGCAGAAATAAGCTGAAAGGGGCTGAAATACAAGCTGAAATTAGCACGAAAAGGTTAGAAGAAGCACAAAATATTGTAGTTAGAAAAAATCTGACAGGAACACTAAGCAGCTGAAAAAACAGCAGAAGAAACAGCTGACAGTAGATGATTTTTTTTTTTGCACAAGGAAGCTGAACCAGAACAAAATGTGAAAGGCGAAGTGAAAGGTTGTAAACAGCTCTAAAGATTTGAAGGATGTAAAATGAGCTCAATTCATTTTCTATGAGGTAAAAATGTCAGAAAAGCTAAATATTTCAAAAAGCTAAAGTTAACCAATACCAAAAGTCATAGCAGGATTGTCTTGAAAGAGCTGAACATTTTGATTTATGATTTGTTGAAATAGCACAAAAATTGTGGCATGAGAGCAATGCCGGAAGAATATACAGAAGAAAAAAGGACCACAATATTGTGAATGGTTCATAAACATTCACACAATTAATGGAATGCAGATTCTAACTGCTTACAGTTCTGGTGTTTTGTTGTTTATAGTTTTATTTGTTTGGTTTTATTTTGTGGCAGGTGACTTGGAAGACAGAGCTGTGATCAGAGAGCCTGCCTCGTTACTGATTACAAATGCAACGAGATCGGACACTGCTAAGTATCGCTGTGAGGTCACTGCTCCTGAAGACCAAAAGTCATTTGACGAGATTGTGATTGACCTTGTTGTAAGAGGTACTCTGATTTACTTCTGAATTACCAGTACTTCATATACAGTACCTTTGGGGAAAATTGTATAAAATGTATCTAAATCTGTATGTTGAAAGGCAGAACATAAGCTATTTGTTTCTCTTAAAAGGCTAACTTTGCTTAGTGAAGCCCACCATGGATGCTGTAACCTGACACCAGGTTGTGGGTCGCTCTGACCCTTTGGCATAAATGTGAAGATGTGTTCTGACCAGAACGGCCCAGCTGCATAGGCGTGTTCCAGGCTATAAGAGGAAACATCTGAAACTGCATCTGTTCTGAATTGCAGTGCTAAAGAAAGCAAGGGCTGTGTATTTTGGTGGCATTTTCTGGCAGTTCCAAAAACACTCTTTTGTCAGTGGGGTCAGTCCAGTGGTCTTTGAGTCTTCTCAGAGATACTGTAACTACAAGCCCAGCAGCATCTTGCAGGAAGTGATAGTTTGTTGCAGGAACACTAACAGTACTGACTCTCATCATATGATCTTTGTCACCACAGTAAAGCCCGTGGTACCAAAATGCCATGTTCCGAAGTCTGTGCCTTTTGGGAAGTCAGCTGAGCTGAGCTGCGTAGAGGATGAGGGCTTCCCAAAGTCTCAGTACCAGTGGTTCAAGAACAAGGAGGAGATCCCTGATGACCCCAAGACCAGCCTGAAATTCTTCAACTCCTCATACATGCTCAATGCAGACACAGGAGCTCTGGTCAGTTGGAATGCACATGTGTTGGGCAAGAACACACGAGTGGCCTGGGCGGGGCAGTGGGGACAGTGGCCTGATGCCCAGGGGTGGTGGCAGATATTTTGGGGACATGGTTGGGGGTCTCGAGCTTGAGCCACAAAAGGAATCTGCTGCCCTGGTTTGCACATTCCTCAATCTTTGCTTACTTCCCAGCACGACTAAGAGCTTTTCTGTCAGCATGATGTGACAGCAGAGTAGTAATCTGCTGAAAATACAGTGTTTTTATCTTCTCTAAAACAAAGTCTTCTGTCTCTGCTGACCACCATCTGGGCTGAGGGCCGGAAGGGATAGATTTTACATTGTAACATTAGAAATGTTTACTCTTTCTAAACGTTTAATAAAATACAAGTACATGAGTTGAAAAGACTAAACATAGTTTAGGGATTGTATTTTTATGTGTTCAAGGAAAAAACAAACTGTCATATTCTAATAAAAACGATTACTGTTTACTACAAGTGATAGACGTACCATTTTATAATCTAAAGGCAGCATAGTGGAGCAGTGGATGGAGCTGTCACCTCACTACAGAACAGTTCCCATCTCAACCTTTTTCTCTGGAATTTGCATGTGTGGGTTTTCATTGGTACTACAGTTTCCTGCCACAGACCAAAAACGTTCATGTTAGGTATTAACTCTAAACTGTCTCTAGGTGTGAGTGTTAAAGGTTGGTTGTCTGTTTGTGTCTCTGTGATGGACTGGAGACCTGATCAAGGTTGTACACCACCTCTGGCCCAGTGACTGCTGGAAATAAACACCAGCTCCCTGCGGTCCTGTACAAATAAACCAGATAGATGAATAGTCTTGACATTCCTCTGTGTATCTTAACTTACAACAAATTTCAGCGTCTGTTTATAGCAGAAAGTGATAATCTGGGCATGATTGTTTCAGTCTACTACAATATAAATACAGGGTCTCTCATGTCCATCAGACATTTTGTCATCAGACGCCATTTGATGCAGACTTTTTAGAGGAGAAGTGCAGAAGCTGTTGGAGCAGGACACCAACCTGAATTAAAGCTGCAAGCAGCGTTGAAGGCCCTCGCAGCAAAGCGCCGCTGTGGCCTTACGGCGACCGCGGGAACTCCAGCGACTCTTCCCGGACGCCATCAAGAACGCTCACGCTACCGTCCTGCGCCCTTTCTCCGGAGTGCGCATTCGCCGAACTTTTGACATAAGCTGCGACTGCATATATAACTATTGTAATAATGTAGGGGGCGCACTTGAGTCAAAAGTAAATAACCAATACCATATGTCTATAAGTGTTCACTAATCACACACCAAAAATCTGGTCCAGATCAAACAAATTTTCACTGAGATATAACTGTTTGAATAATGTAGGGGGCGCACTTGAGTCAAATATTAAACAACAACACCACTGTGTCCAGAAGTGCTCACTAATCAAGCAGCAAAAATCTGGTACAAATCGGATGACATATCACAGAGATATAACAGTTTGAATAATCTAGGGGGCGCACTTGAGTCAAATATTAAACAACAATAACAATGTATGTAGACATGGTCACACATTATGCCACAAAAATCTGGTACAGATCGGATGATATATCATTGAGATATAAGTCTTGGAATATTATAAGGGGCGCTCTAGAGTCAAAAGTTAAAAAACATTACCAATGTGTCCATCAGGACTACATAATAATACACCAAAAATCTGGTGCAGATCAGATGATATATCATTGAGATATAACTGTTGCAATATTGTAGGGGGCGCTCTAGAGTCAAAAGTTAAAAAACACTACTAATGTGTCCATAACTGCTTACTAATGATGCACCCAAAATCTGGTCCAGATCAGATGATATATCATTGAGATATACCTGTTGGAATATTGTAGGGGGCGCTCTAGAGTCAAAAGTTAAAAAACATTACTAATGTGTCCATCAGGGCTAAATAATAATACACCATAAATTTGGTGCAGACCGGCTGATATATAACTGAGATATAACTGATTAAATAATCTAGGGGGCGCACTTGAGTCAATAGTTAAAAAACAATAGTAATGTGTCCTTAAGTGCTTACTAATGACACACCCAAAATCTGGTGCAGATTGGATGATATATCACTGAGCTATAACTGATTAAATAATCTAGGTGGCGCACTTGAGTCAAATATTAAACAACAAAACTAATATGTCCATCAGTTCTCAGTAATGACACACTAAAAATCTGGTTCAGATCGGATGTTGTATCACTGAGATATAACTGTTGGAAGAATGTAGGTGGCGCTGTGGAGGCTCTTGGCCACTTATCATGGAACCCTGTTCAAGGGGTGGATAATGATCGTTCATAGTGATTTTGGTTCACCTGGGCTCAAATCTGTGTAATTTAGAGCCAAACGTATTGCAACGGCGTCACTTTTTAATTCGCCATGGCGCCACGCCCACATTCTCCAGCTATAACTGTTTGTAGTTTAAATCAAGTCAGACCATCTTATCTGTCTTCTAACACAGGATCATCCTGATTAGGTGAAGGGTGTCAAAGAAGGAGCATTCCAATTAAAAAAAGAGACTTCCTGTTGTCAGGGGGTGGGGCTTTGATGACATCACAATATGACGACATTGGATCGTGGGACATCCAACAGGGATGAGTCGTGGCAAGTTTAGCACCTTTTGGTCTTTCAATGTGAAAGTTATAGCGTTTGTAACTTTATGGCATGAAGCTCAACTTTGAGGCCTGGCCACGCCCCTTTAACAAAATGAAACCGAAAGCTTTTGATAACTTTTACTCTCCAATGTCTTAAAGGCCTATTAACCAAGTTTGAAGGCAATCCTTCAAAATCCCTATGAGGAGTTCGTTAAAATTCGCCGTTAAAAACGCCCAAAAATTAAGCTTTGATCCAAAATGGCCGACTTCCTGTTGGTTTTGGACCGGAGCTCCAAGAGACTTTTTCATAGGTCCTGAGAAGATACACATGTTCACCGAGTTTCAGATTTATAGGTCGAAAAATGGCTTGGGGCTGAGGTTTTAAAATATTCTAGGGGGCGCTAGAGAGGCTATTGGGCAATTATCGTGACTTCCTGGTCAAGGGGTGGGCATTGATCGATCATAGTGATTTTGATGAACCTCGGATCAAATCTGTGGAATTTAGAGCCAAACGTATTGTAACGGCGTCACTTCTGAATTCGCCACGCCGCCACGCCCACATCCTCCAGCTGAAATGCTTTGCGCTTCAAAGCAAGTCAGACCAACTTGTTGTCTGCCTTCTAACACAGGATCATCCTGATTGGGTCAAGAGTGTCAGGGAGGGAGCATTCCAAGCAAAAAAAGTCACTTCCTGTTCTGAGGGGGCGGGGCTTTGATGACGTCAAAATTTTACCTCAGGGTATCGTCGGGCATGGGACAGGGATGACTCATGCCAAATTTGGTGCAATTCTGTTGTTCAACGTGAAAGTTGTAGCGTTTGGAAATTTTTGGCATGAAGCACAATTTTGAGGTCCGGCCTCACCCCCTCAACATACGTCGGTTTGCACCGTTTTGATAACTTTTCGTCCCCCATGCCTACTGAGCAAAATGGCGCAAGTTTGAAACCGATTGAGCGGAATTCCTAGGAGGAGTTCGTTCAAATTCGCCGTGTACGAAAAGTGAAAAACGGCCAAAATTGACCCTTTGACCCAAAATGGCCGACTTCCTGTTGGGTTTAAGGCATACCTCCAAGAGACTTTTTTTCATGATTCAGTGGGTTGTACATGTGTACCAAATTTCAGCTCTCTACGACTTACCAGTTGTCATATCTCACGTTAGGGGGCGCTGTGGAGCAGTTTGGCCACGCCCACTTTTGGTTCCATTAAATACCTCAAATTTCTCGCGGGGGACAATTTTGGGTCAAATATGGTGAGTTTTCAAATATGTTAAGGCCTCCAAATTAGCGCTCTTTGACGGAAAAAAAAAATAATGGCCTAATTTCATGTTTCAGTGGGTTGTATGTGTGTACCAAATTTCAGCTCTCTATGACTTACCAGTTGTCATATCTCACGTTAGGGGGCGCTATGGAGCAGTTTGGCCACGCCCACTTTTGGTTCCATTACAGTACAAAAATTTCACGCGGGGGACAAGTTTTGATAAAGTTTGGTGAGTTTTCGAATATGTTAAGGCCTCCAAATTTGCGTTTCTTTCGGCCCAAGAAGAATAATAATAAACAGTACAATTACAATAGGCCTTCGCAGCGCTTAGCTGCTCGGGCCTAATAATAATAGGAAACGACACAATTACAATAGGCCTTCGCAGCGCTTAGCTGCTCGGGCCTAATAAACAGCACAATTACAATAGGCCTTCGCAGCGCTTAGCTGCTCGGGCCTAATGAAGGTTTTGTTAACCTGCTAATGGCTGCACAATGTCTTCTCACTTCAGCAGTTCTGTGGGGCCTGTCCTGTCTGGTTCTCTCTAAGCCCCTTATCCACGGGGCCCTTTGGTACTCCTATGTAACTAGTTGTGGCCGATTGCGTGTTTTATCAACAATGCCTTTAGCGGTGGAACCCACCCCATTTTTGGGACCTAATTCTCTGAGGTCCCAGGTCTGGTTCTTGTAGGGTCTAGATGTGACATCAGCGCACTGTAGGTCACTGATTGGTCAGGGGGCGTGTTCATTGGTGGAGGGCGGAGATTCAGTCTTCCACCAGAAATCACAATCCGCCATTTTCTTTTTCACCCGCATAACAGACAACAAGTAATCGGAGGAGCTTATTTTGGAATATTTTATAAGGTAAAACAAATAATCATGGCACAACCGTGGTCGAATGCTGAAGTTCAGGCATTTCTCTGTTTGCTGGCCGATGAACAAGTGCAGAGCGAGCTAGATGGAACGAAACGAAATGAAAAGATTTTTCAAGAGGTGTCTGCGCAGATGGTGGTGCAGGGCTTCCATCGCACACCAAAGCAGAGGAAAGCTTAAAAAACTAAAAAGCGATTACAAAACGATTAAGGACCACAACGGTAGGAGTGGAGCAAACAGAA